TTTAAAAGAGATATTTAGCAACACCGTTCAAGCTACAAAGGAATGGACATTAGCCGAACATCAGTTAACAACCTTAGATATACTGACGATATTTTGATACAGACAAACAGTACTGAGAAGACTTAAGGAGACAGAGAACAGAGAAGAGAAATATGATCATCAGTAAAGACACGTACCTGGAAGAATTAATGAACACTAGGACCCGCCAGTCAAATGAGAAAAGTTTTGTGCATTCACGATACCAAATTACTTAGAATGAAGATGATAAGATGCTACGTCTTCCCTGGTGTTCTCTACGGTATGAAGGGACACTAACAGCTGCTGAAGATCAACTGGGTGGAAAAGGCAAGAAACAGTGACTCCTTCGAATTTTAAGCAATCGAAATTGCCGGTAAACGTAGTCTCAAGTAACTGAAGAATCTGCATGAATGGTATTTAATGACTAGTGTTCAGTTATTCCGTGCAACAGTCAATAAGGCAATGATGATAGTAAATAGTCAAGACAATAAGAAACGACCAAGACCACAAAATACGACACCTTCAAAAATACGAACTTCTTGATTTGATGATGGCAATGGAAAATTTCCAGTAAACGTGGTCCAGGTAGAAGAAGAACGTCTTGCCTCAAGAATCTGCGAGAATGGTGTGGAATGATTAGCGTTCAATTATTTCTTGCAGCAATAAATGAGACAATGATATGAAATGTATATGAAAATATGATCGCGAAGGTGATATCCAACAACCGTTAACGATCTTGGTCCTGCAAGAACAGCAGCAGCCTTAAGACATTTTCTTCTATTCCTCGTAACAGACATTTTGACACCTGAACCCTCCTGTTGAATTTCATCGTCTAAAGTCAGTCAGTAATAATAACAAAGAAATAACTGCTCGATTTCCCTTCGAGAACAACAACGTTCAAATGATTTCTATAAACGAAAGCAAATTACCATAACAGCCGACAATCTTTAAGGCGAATTAATTATGACTCATTTCAAGTTGCATGCCGTAGTGCAAGCGGAACACGCTCGATCGAAAAATTTATTAGAGCAATAAATCAGACTCTTATCGAGTTTCAATTTTAAATCTGTGAACTCGAACCTATTGGGTATACTCATTTTCTCCCTATTCCTTTATTTTACTTAACAATTAACAATAATTCATAATTGTTATATACAGGGTGCTACGAAAAAATAAGTCATATTTGGCCATAAACCTTCCTCAGTTTACATCTGGATCCAGCACGCCTTTTCCGATAATCCGCTCATCTCATTTAATATCTTCCTCTATTTTAGTTTGCCAAGTTTGTCTGATGTTATGAATTTCCATTTTGACTTCGCCCGTTCCTGTTTCACACCTAACATTTGTCTTTTCAGAAAGCACTGATTATATGGCTTGATTTTCCGGTGTTGTGGATATTTTTTATTTTTTAGGATGAAGCCATATTACTCATGATTTTAATTTTGATGTAGTTCCTATCGGTAGTTCTTTTTTATATGTTCTCAAGGTGATATCATCCGCGTATCTCAAGGTGTTTAAAGTGCCGTCCTCATATTTTTATACCCTTTTGTTCCTAAAATATTTATATCACTTGCCATTAAGCACGCTTTGCATTCCATATAGGGCGTCAAAGTTAATTTTTTAAGATGCATATTTTATTATTATGTCTGGTGTATTTTGAGATATCTTTTTGAAATTTGGTGCACACCATACCAACTTTTTGTAGACTAACGATTTGAAGTTAGTTTCTTTTTGTTAAGTTTGTGCAATTTTTTTGTTTCCTGCAAGATCTATTATGCGTTTCTCTGCATCAACTTCTCCTCATTTATATATATATTTTTTGACTACCGCCTTAATGGATAGATATTAATGTTCAATTATTCCGGTACATTCTTTTCATATCGTTGGTTACCTTGCATTTGCGTTTCGTAATTATTACACACATAGATTGCAGCATTTCTATTCACAAGTGCGATGCGGTTGGGTTTCAATTGGCTACAAATTTTTTGAAGTGATTAAAAACCTTTTTTTGCACTTCGGGGCGACTTTCCAGCGTCGCAAACAATTTCAGGCCAATGCCTCTTTGGCAATAATTTCTCTTTTCTCTTTTATATTTTTCACACCCGTAGAAAGCGAGTATGCAATAGACAAAATTATCTGCTTTGGAGACCTCTGGCGTCAATTAAAAATACTACGTTATTCGCGCCCACCTGAGCAAATAAATGGGGAATAAATATTCCTAATTGCCACGGCAGTCACGTATTTGTTTGGCAAACAATGTATTATTAATATTCATTTTTAACGACGTTTAATAGTTGTACTTTGCATTTCCGATTTGAAAGTTAACCCCCCGTCTATCGATGACGTTAAAACTCCATAAACGAAAACTGGCGATGAAACCGACGTGGAAGCCGGTAATATAATTATCAACATTAAAATAAATCGGATTAAATACCTGTTACATATTTATTTATTCATTAAGAACGGAAAAGACAGCAAAACAAAATTAATAATAATAATAAATAATAATTAAAATAATGCAGCAAATAACTGAATCTCCCAAAGGTTTTTATTTTCCTTTAACTGATTGTAACATTAGAATAAGTGCGTCTAATTTTTCGCCAAATTATGAAAATACAAATGGTAGAGAGCATTTCCATACTAAAACAAAATAACATTATTTACTAATAATATGATTTTCCGATTTATCTTGAACGCGCACGGTGTGTTTGCATTTTTTCGTATTCTTTACTTACTTTACTTAGTATTAAAAATTAGCCCGATCAAACCCGAGTCAAACTCCGTGTTTTATCGGTCCGTTCAAATTCGCGCGGCAAATTTTTCATTCATCTAATTACGAGTAACTAACCCAATATAAATAATTTATTCACGCTATGCTACTTAAAAAAAAGTTGGGTGAAGAGTCTAGGAACAGGCGCCATAATGTCAGCTCATAAATAATTCATAACCGTTATAAGTATCTGCGTTTGTATCTGATCCTGTTGACGTTGTTATTTTTCACCGATTAATATTCATTAATTTTTCGATAAATATTAATCCCGTTTTTTTGTCGGCTCATTCCCCAGTCCAGCTGTGTGTATACGGGATTGAGAGAAACGCATCTAACATTTTTGGAAGATTTTAAATACGTATTCAACTCGAAACAAAGACCAGCAGGCGGAGTCACAAGTGACGAAAGTAAATCACATCTACAAATTTGAGACAAAGTATAATTGAGTAGTACTCTGAGTAAAGTCTGTTCATAGATATAAGAAAGTGACTAACTGATACGAATTAAGAAAAGACCCGGGCAAGCTGTAAGAATGAATTATGGCCGAACAGGTCCGTACTTTGCTTATAATTTAATTATTTGGGGTTTTGTTAAGAAAGATACTAAAAAATATTTAATAATTTAATTATTTGGGGTTTTGTTAGGAAAGATACTAAACAATATTTATTTGTGTATGTATTTATGTTTAAATCAAAAATAAAATTACAAATTATTTTTATTACCTACTTAAATTTACTTAAAATTATTCACATAATGTATCAGTATCACTATCGCTATCATCGCCTGTTCTAATTCTAATATACAGTGATAAAACTTTATGCCATAGATTTTTTGCATCACATCACAGATGTATTCCTTTTGAAGGTTCAAGCTTTGTAGAACCTCAATTAATTGCCTTTTGGTATAATCTTCGTGAAAATAAATGTCGTTATTATACATGTAGTTTTGGATTGTTGCTTTTGTGTCACATGAGGAAGGGGTTTTAGTCAACTGTCTGGTTTACACTTATCAGTTGAGTCAACCCAAAAATCTAAAACCCATGTGTTGAATACACTTCCATAAGGTAGTTCTGCCACATTTAACACCGGTTTCATCTTTGTCAAGCCTCCTAATTAAGAAATTTTACAGCGTATTATATCTTGATCACTTTCATCTACACTCGAGAAAATGTCAGCATCGCGTCTTTTTTTCCTCCCTGAAATGGGATTATTCACAATTTTCCATACAGTTGATGTTGGAATTTTCGTTAATGTGGCCGTTTCTTCTGAAGATGGTTGCTCCACGTTCAATGAGAGTCAAATAAATATTGTTTATAACTTCCTTAGTCTCAATAGAATAGTATTTTCGACATTTGGGCGGGAGCATCTCCATACATACATACATAATTCGTACACGCTTCAACACACGCTGTATTGCACACGAAATAAGAATGATTACTAATAAACTTAAACTAAGTAGTCTACCAAACCAAAGAATATTAAACACAGGTAGGTATAAAATTATTTTCTATCACGGACCACAATTTTATCTGAATTTAAATTCCGAAACTTTAGGTAATAATCTTGTTGCATTGTATGTTAATGACCACCCTTCAAAAGCAATTGGTCACTTTCTTATATCTATGAACAGACCATACCACGCTGGTTAATCCAAATAATAAATATAAACCAAAAAATTCAAAATTCAATCCAAGAGACCCGATAACGTTTTGATCTTTCAAGGGAGACGTCGAATACTTTGAGAATTTTAACATTTCTAATTTGGTTTTTGCCCTACTTGATGGTGAAAACCTGTTACTGGGAACTGATTATTCTTTCATTGCATTTGGGTTAAATTGGCCTACCGAACATGAAAATTGGTGTAATGGTATGGGCTGGCCTAAGATTGAAAGATTGAATTTCGTTTTGTTGGAAAAATAAAAAATGGTCAACCCGCATTCAATTTAAACCGTGTTCTTATAGCGTCAGGGTTACAAGTGGAATTTTTACTAGAAAAATAAATATGACCATGTTGCTACTCGTTGCTGAGTTTACTTAGTTTTTTTATTTTTAATCTTTTTAAGCTATTGCATACCGTTGAGTTTCAACTAGCCGGTATGTAATACGCTGTGTGTCGATAACTTTAAGCAGTTTTTTTGATAATTTAATTTAATTAGAAAAGTCATTGAAGCATTTATTTCACTCAGTTTTACTGAATAATTATATCTTTCCAGGTTGAACAAAGGGATGTCCCTGGTATTGATTGTGCATATCTCGCGATGGATACCGAAGAAGGAGTGGAAGTCGTCTGGAACGAGGTCCAGTTCTCCGAACGGAAGAATTTCAAAAATCAAGAGGAAAAGATCCAAATGATATTTGAAAATCTCACGCAGTTAGATCACCCAAACATTGTCAAGTTCCATCGGTATTGGACGGATACACACAATGACAAGCCTCGGGTAAGTAAATTTTTATTTCCGCCTTCTACGGGCGACGGTTACAGCACAGACGTCAAATAGCAAACTAAACAATAGACCTATTGTGGCGTTTTACGATTGTCGTATTTCTATTATTGCGTTTTGGCCGGGACATGTAAAATATTAAAACTACTTCCCCATTTTACAAGTGCCCGGTTTTTATCACTTTCATTTAATTTAATGCTGCGTAAAAAAAAACAAGGGCAAAAAGGCGTTTGCAATAAAATTTACGATTGTTTTGTTTTTTTTCCATCATCTTCTTCTTGCGAATCCCATTTTGCTACTTATTTTGAGAAATATAAATTACCTTAATTATGATTTAACAGTTTGGATTTTTCCTACCTCGCAATAATAAAAAAAAATCCATTCTGCTGAGTTCAAAAACACTTTATGTTTTTTTTTAAGTATCAAAAAAGGAATAGGGCGGTTTGTCATCCAAAATTTGATCAAAATATAAATTCAATGTAGTTACAGCAAATTGATTTGAGAAACGAATTATTTAAATCTTTTCATAAAGTTATTAACAAATACCCACTGAACTCCGCTTACCGAAACCAATATGGATTTATGTGAGACAAATTCTATTTAAAGCGAGATGGATAGTATTGGGGATTGTTACTCTTTGTCATTTTTTATTTCTCTGTATTTCAATCCTTTGTCCTTCTTTAGACTCGTCTTGGTTTGGCCATTTCTTACAGTGACAATGGTGTGACCAATAATTTCATGCTGGTGTCTACTAGCCATCTTTTTCTATTGCCTTACTTTTTTATCAGATCGTTTCCATTCCAGTTTAGATCGAATTCATTGCAGATATCATATCACAGTTTAATAACACAATGCAACGTAAATGCATGAAAAATATGTTTGATGTGTTAAATTTTCATTTCGTTTAAGGTGAAAATCGTTTCGTGTTTTTAGGTTATCTTCATCACCGAATATATGTCTTCAGGCTCGCTGAAACAGTTCCTTAAGCGCACTAAGCGAAATGTGAAGCGATTACCCCTGCAAGCGTGGAGGAGGTGGTGTACGCAGATCCTTTCGGCCTTAAGGTAAATAGAACCCGACCTCACGCAACGACCCTTACCGATTTGATTACCTAGTTTTAAGGCTTAATTTAAGGAAAATGTGTATTACTTAGCTTGTAAGATTATTTTTAACACACTGTCCGTATCGTCCACAGTAATCGAATTATTTTGTAAGTATGTCACGGCATTACTGTGGCCGATGATTTATTTTATTTATTGTTTGTCTTGTATCATCTATTGTCGCATATATATATTGTGTCGTTAATATCGTGTGTTCACAGTATCATCGTAAAGGTAAGTGAAATACGAATGCAAGTTTCGACTGTACTTTAACTTTTTCCTACCACTCCCCATAATAATAGTTGGCCGAACCGGAAATAAACTGTACACAGAATACTTTTCTATGACGTATGCGAATATTCTGGGGATATCCATAGAAGCGACAAATACTGCTATGAACATACTGATGGATATTCGGCGAATATTCGTCGCAGTAGTAGTAAGAGATAACAATTGTGTCGCAGTGGAATTGAAAAAGAGGATGAATGGAAAATGTTGATGGAGAATTAGGTGGTACGGTTCGAGCCGGCTTCCGAAAAAAAAAAGAACAGTTTCCAGGGACGAGACCGGCCGGCGAATCTTCAAAAAAAGAGTCATTCTATGAATGCAGTCTGTTTTCTTTCCAGTTACTTGCATTCCTGTTCACCGCCAATCATCCACGGCAATCTGACCTGTGATACCATATTTATACAACACAATGGACTCGTCAAGATTGGATCAGGTAATCACAAAAAATTCAACTCACCGAAAAATATATATTGCCGAGATTTATTTCAGTATTTTCAGAAAGTGCTTGTGTAATGATCATATTGGTTTAAAAAATTTTGGGATATTCGCTGCATAGATGGTAGACTGATTATGGTAGACTATTTTCGCTCAAGTCTGACTATGTCCTGTTCAATTGTTTTTTAAACCTCTCCAAGCGAATTTTCATAACTTTCAATAAATTGGCGAATGCGCCAGGTATTGACATTTAGTATCAAGTTTATTTATAAATGTTTGTTGATAGCACGTTTTCATAAAATGTTAAGGTAAGACGTAAAACTTTCTACTTTATATTGTAGCACAAGCTAAATCAGCATTATAATAAATTGGCTGGTTCTTATATATTTTTTATAGGATGCTTTAACTGATTAAGAATCTTACCGACCAAGTATTATATTTAAAGAAAATTAATATTAATTTTTTTCTTAATTAAAACAATAAATTTGAAATTAGCCCCCTGTCAAAGGTTTGAGACATCTAAAACATCGAAATTTTTAAACTTCTACAATATTTAATCAATTTTCAATTGAGACCATACAAAGCGCCACCTGTCCCTATGTATTGTACTAATTCTCAATTTCGCATACTCTTTCAATTGTTTTGTACAATTTGTATGTTCTTTTATGTACCCTTTGCATCTCTGTGATGAAGAGAATATATTATACAAATATTTTATTTGAGTTTGCATCATTGCATGCTTTGGGGGTCTCAAACTTTTCATTGTTTAACTTGAAATGGTGATTATCTTCTGGTCTGTAGCTTTCAATCATGATACGACCACGAAGAACAAATATAATCGAATGACACTTCATTCTTTAGATCATCTTCATTAACAAAGACACTTGCTAGGTTTTTTAAACACTGTGAACTTTGCGTTTTCAGACTTGGGCATACAAGCGCGATCTGCTTAGGCGGTCTCTATTTGTCATGGTCGAGCGTGTCGCCCATGTAAGATTGTTTTCCAAAAATGTTACATCGGCTAACCGACGCTTGGCAATGAATGTGCTGTAAAGTGATCGCCACCCTTCGCGCTTCAACCATTTTCTGTAAGAAAAATATTTATCTGTGTGCTATCTGTGCCCCTTGTGTTGTGAAATTTCTGATGTAAAACGTTCCCAACTCTTCTTTTACTAAAAAAAAAAAAGTTTTGTGGGTATCAATTTACAGGGATGTCTCAGTACATAGGTCTTTTTTTATTTTGCAGTATGTGTCTCTGCCGCAACCGATTTTTTTAACGAGAGTAAGTAAGGATATGTAATCGTAATATAAATGCATGTTTTCTAAACATCTGCACTCCAAAATTCATTCATTTCGATTTTTGAAAGCCTTGAAGTACCATTTTTGAAGTACCATTTTTTTCATGTCTTTCTTGTTAGGTATATTCAATATTTGACGGGGTGTTTGCATCGCTAATTATTCAAAGCTCAATGTTAAAAAACAGATTACTTGTTGCCACTCATGTTTACAGTTTCATGCGCATGAAATTGCAATTAATGCACATAATAAATTACATTGACCTGTATTTGTCACTGTCAACGATTTTTAGTTGATGTTTGTTCATATTTTGATCAATTTTCTATCTAAAAAAGTTAATCACATCAAATTTATACCCATTAACTTTGTGTTAATAACATAGTCTCACACTTTAAGACATTTTACATCACTGATTTCACTAAACTTGTTTGGCATCATGGTTCACTTATGTGGTTAATTAGTACTTTGCGGAAATGTGCCAACACAAATAGAGAATGGTTAAACAGTTTATTTATTTTTGGTCTTCATCTATCAGCATACGTGTCAGTGCTAAAAACTGTTAATGCTGATTTTGATTTTCATCTCTCTAGTTGCTCCTGACTCCATTAACCATCACGTCAAGACCTGTCAGGACAACTTCAAAAATATGCATTTCATCGCGCCCGAACATCCAAGTAAGTATATCTACCGATCTGGGAGTTAATCATTCGGTACTAATCACTTTTTTGAAACAAATTTCCAGTTTCTGAGTTGACGTCGTGTAAATATCCCAGTTAACTTTTGTTTTATTTTAGCAATCAATTGATTAAGTAATTAACAATTTCTTATAGCGATAATGAGCCCCGCAATAGACATATACGCTTTTGGCATATGTGCCTTGGAAATGGCCGCCTTAGAAATAATAGGAAACGGAGAGTCTGGGAACAAAGTGACTGAGGAGAACATTTTGAAGACAATAGAGCTGTTAGAAGACGAAAGTCAAAAGGATTTCATTGAGAGATGTCTCAGAAAACATCCCGGCGAGAGACCCACTGCCAGGGAGTTACTGTTCCACCCCCTTTTGTTTGAAGTCCACACCCTCAAGTTATTAGCTGCCCACGTTTTAGTTGCAAATTCAGGTAATTTTTTTTTTGAGTATTACATGACCACAGCTATTTAGTAGCTGGGACAACAAAATTGACAGTTACAATGACTTGCACATTGACTGTATTTTGCCTCGTTTAAATCTTTTACCATGTTATATCATACAAGTATTTTGCCAATTTTCGGAAAAATGAATTTCATCATTGAAGCTCTAATAATAAATTGTTGTATTATGCACCCACTTATTAAAAAATAATATAACAGGGCTTCAGTTGGTTAATATTAAATGAGTCTTCAGATACTCTCTATCAGATGGCGCTGTGATAACAAAATATAGATATTCCTGCTATAATCATTGATACAAATATGTTATGGTGATAATTAACTTCAATTGAGTTTGTTATTAGTGTGATTGCTACTTTCTAGTAATTGAAGGTGAATTTTATTCATGCAGAACTTTCAGTAAAAGTTTAATTTAATGATATTGAACTTTCGTTTGCTCTTTCTTGCCGAAAAAAGCAAAAATTCATTACACTTTTGCCTTGACTTTGCCAAGGGGGTTACAAATTGTAATAGATCATACAGTACGTTATTTTGTAAAATTCCACTTTATATACGCCTTCAATCAAGAATTGTTTTAATAGTGATTGATAATTTTCATCGCAAAAACAATTCCGTGATAAAAAAGCTTGTGTGATAGACATCTTAAGAGGGCTTAGATAGTGAATTATCTGACAAAATACAAGTAAAATTTTCCATTACGAAAATAATTTTTGCGTGTGTTTTGAAGATATTTTTCATTTTATGCTTAAAACCCAAGACTATTGTTTTTTTTTACATTGTTTTGCGTTTGCTAAGCACTCTGCAGATAATTGCGTATAATTATACAAAAATATAGTAACAACGTCGACAACAAATTATTCCATCACATTTCCTGTCTTTTTTTTTTTGGATTAAACTTAGCTTACAACTTAAACAATTTTTAGAATAATTTTTGGAATTTTGAAGTATTAGTAAAAATGAAATAATTTTTAATAATATATTTTGTAGTTTGATGAACTTAATATTAATAACTTTCGAAAAGGAAAGTTAAAAAGATACAATTTATAGATACAATTTATAGATACAATTAAACATTGTTTGTCTATAAATTATTACTCAAGGTGGCGGAACAATGGTTTTTCTTGTCATTCCTGGTAAACAGACATAAATATTGTTATTGTAAAAAAAATAAATTAATTTAAAAAATCCATGCTGTCTACTGTAAACATGTTATCATTTAAGTCATAAAAATAGTGTTCCAAATTAGCCTTTGAATTTATTGATTACCGTTATCAACCGATTATTGTAAACAAGTTGTTTTTGCTAGTTAAGATGTCATCTATATAAAATGTATCCTAATACATCAAATTTATTTCCCTTTTGAGAAAATTAAATAGAATTTTGAGAACTAATTTTATATCTCGGTAAGGGTCTACTTTATCAATGTAGTACAATAATTGGTGTTTTGGTGTCAGCAAAATTATGACCACGTGAAGGTGTTGTCGATTTTGGAAATGAACATGTTCTTATTTCCATTATTGCATATGAGTTCTGTATATACATGAACTAATCTAAATGTTAATTATACATTTTGTCTCTGTTGTTTGAATCCTTGTATTTACATTTAACTAATCTTAATCCAACTTTACACATTACTTAAGCTTTAAAGTAATTTTGCAAAAGTGGGTTATTCCATGTAATAAACAACAAGAAAAAATCATCTATAACGTCATGTTCATACCATATTTTTTAAAATAGGTTTTAATACTCTAAGAAAGCAGAGAATTTGGAAAAAACTTAGGTGTATCTGCAAAATAGTATCTATTAATGTATTTTTGTTTTTAATAACATTTGTCAGAATAATTTTTTAGGTTGCTAAAATTCAGTATCAACTTTTAAGGGTCATAGTCATAGGTCAAATTTATATGATACCAAAATATGTTAATTTTTCAAAGAAACTTCCGCAGACTATCCACAGATAATATCGCCAATCGTCATGTCTGCTTCTTCAGAGCGTAACTGAACTGAAACTGTTTCTAAACTGAAATCGTTTCAGTTAAACTCTGAAAAAACCACAAGGTCGATTGGCGAAACATCAGCAAGTTCGATTTATCAACAGACGCTTTTTACCAATATAATTTTTAAAGAAACAGTGCTAATTAAATTACATTCTCGTTTACTTCCAGCTACTAATTGTTGTAACAAGAATTATAGGTGATTATTTTTATTTTTCCAGCAAACATATCTGAAACAATTACGGATGAGCTAATGCAAAGGTGGTATGGTCCAGAGGTTGTGGTGGCCGAACTCAGGAAGAAAAGCGGGGACCAGGTCCCAATTAAAATGACTGATGCACCAGTTACTGAAAAACTGGAAAAGTTTGTGGAGGATGTCAAGTAAGTCAACTATTTCCATTGAAAATTTTCTTGCAAAGCGCAGTTTTTGGCGAGGGTTACTTTAGTTTTGATTTGTCAACATTTCAGTTAAAATTATATAAAGAAAAAAATAAAAAAATAAAATGCTACAAAAAAATAAGACTTCCAAAGTGACACGCGATTTTTAAGAGATTAGAACTAACGAATGTAAATTTCCTTCGTCAGAGATAAAATATTCGATCATCTATATTTTGGCTGTTTTTCGATTATTGACAATATCATAAAAGTCGATTTGGCAAAATTATTGAACCCCAGTATTGGTTAAACAAACAATATTGAAATTCGAAACTGATAAATGTGAAAATGTAATCTTATGAAAAGGTTCAATGAAAGGCACAAAAACTATTATTTTTCGATTAAATTTATAGGCGCGCACTTAAGTTTTTTCGGGAAAGAAAATCATTTTTGCGCACACAATATTTTTGTCGACCCTATTTTGATGCACAATTGCTAAACATTATTTGTTTATATCATATTATTGCTTCGTACGCCTAAACTATACTATGGGTGTATATATTACTTATGAAATTATAATGTATATTATGATAAACAAGTTTAGGATTTTTTCATTTTATTTTCTCAGGTCGGCTTATTTTTTTAAAGTTGTTGGGCACTAAAATATTTTGATTTGTTTGCAAGTTATGGGTGGACATTTTAATTTTTAAAACTTTAAAAAATTGTGTACAATTTTAAATGTATATGTAATATTGAAATTCGAAAAAAAATTGGGAATAGAAAATTGATTACACCTCGTTGCTGGTAAAAAACGAGTGAGTTAGAGAAGGTCGAGTTAATTTTGTTTGTTTACGTTATATTTCTTTCGCGAACCTACCTAAATAGGATTTTTTGTTTTCGATATTTAAGATTTTCTTTATTTGCAAATACGAGCAAGATTTAAAAATGTGCTCTTCTTAGACGCACTTGGGTATTTTCAGCTGCAAGCGTGCGCAAAGCGTCATTTTAATCACTCTGGCGAGTCGCGTCTTACGTTTCTGATACTTTGCTCGCTGGTTTGGGAGCGATCCGATAATTTCGGTAGATGTAAGCGCTGTTGCTATTTTGAAATTTGCCAGTCCTCGCGCTGACGTCACACGTCACTCAATGAACGTTTTCGGGCTGTTGTAAAAATGTACCCATAAAACTAATGGTCGTAGAAAAAGGGTAGTATGCAACACGTTGATAAACTTCTTCCGACACTGCTTTATTAAAAATCATCACTAAAACGACATTTATCAAACTTCCTCTGTTCTATCTAGTCTCTGTTCTGATTTGATTCATATCGTTGATGATCTTGGGACCCGTATATGCATCGCCAACTGCTAACCTGACGTTTGACGTTCAAATTATTTCCTTTCACTTATCGAAATTGGTTTAGATTTTTGGCTCTATGAAGTAGAAATTGCTTAGCCTTACAGCTGTTATGTTTTCGATTACAATAACGAGTTATATGTGAACTAATAATCAATGCATATTTTTGACCCAATTGAAAAATATAAATGCCCAGACTTTGTGATAACAGCGGCGAAGACGAGAAAATGGAAAATATTTTTTGAATAAAGGCAGTCGATAAACCCATCGACACGCATTGTCGTAATTGTGTCAATTTACACGCGACCGTACAATAAAATTATTACTGCCATAATGTCTAGGAGCGAATAACAAGTCTGGCAAGGCCGACGCTCGGGCAACGCAACAACAAAAACAAAAAAAAAACACGCTGATAAGATTAATCCGCGGGCAATAAATAAAATGAAGTAACGCGTCAGGTATCTTTAGTCTGTGACCAGCTTTCGACTCTCGTATACGTTTTCCTCGTACTCGCGCGGTTTTTCCGCTAAATTTCCGGTCTGCCTTCAAGTTTTTCCCGCCAGTCCGATAGTTAAAGCTGTCCGGAGAGGCCGTAACCGTTTTGGCATCGTTTCCGTGGGACTTTCGAAAATAAAACTCCGTTTCGTTTGAGGCTATTTTGGGAACCCGCGCGTCCCGTGCCGTGTTTGTGTTCGGACGATCCGTCATAAAACTTTATTGTTCGTTTTTCACCGAGGTAGTAGTAGTGAATACACTCGCAAATGTTGGCTTTTGATAACCAGATGTCGACCTCCAGTCTGCACCTCAAATTATTGGCAATGTACGTTGTTTTTTTCTTCCATTCATTTTTCATTTTATGCGGTTGTGTGTGACTTGTTCGATTGAAGTATACCTGCATTTTTGTCGTTTTGGTTAGTTGGTTTGTTGGTAGCTTAGCATGTTTGAGCTCTACATCATAAATGCGCCACGAGTCTTGAGGAGTATTGAAGAAATAATTTTGGTTTGCACTTGCTATTTTTTTTGTTGTTGTTGATAAATTTGTACTTTGAAAGTGGAAGTTAGGGGAGAATTCAAAGTAAGCGCATCTTTGAGGGACTCACGTCTCGACGGTCTCTTGAACATGGAAATTTTTTAAGAAAACGACTTCTACCATCTTTCAGTCATGTTTCTTTTTTTAACATTAAGATTTTCATTAGCAGGGCTGAAATTTAATTTAAACTTTCGACCGATCGATTCCTTGTCACCCTCCTCAAGGTATGATGCAATTTCGTCCTTATAACCCTGAATTAGATATTTATTTGCACGCAAAACGTATTTCGATGTTGAATTTGCTACTGCTATTCCATATTTCCAAGCTAAAAAGTTCCGAAAATTCTCATTTGTTTCAATAAAATATGTAATAAATAAAATATCACAATGATTTTGCGCTAGTGTTAAGTAACTGTTACGGGATTAAATAAATGTACAGGGTGGTTCATTGGTAAATATACACCCGCCTTTACCTGGGTACTTAGTCGGTTCTCAATCGCCAATACCACAAATGGACTGAGACACTAGGTAAAAAACACATTTTGTGAGGTTTTAATAAGTCGGCTTCCTCGATCTGTTCGTTTATCAAAGTGTCAGAAATTGAAATATCGAAATACAGGGTTGAACTGGAAGCAAGGACCGGATTCTAAAATTTCAAAAGGAACACTTTACATCAAAATTGAAATTTTATTTTAAAATATGGATAGAGCGTAAAAATAAGCAAAGAAATGGAAATTCGATATTGGGCTGTACCGTTTTTATTTGTAGAAATTAAGTTTTACCTGTTAATATCAACCAGCCTCTGGGTTCCTACTGAAAGTAACAAAATTTGTCCAGATTACGATTAAAGACACGCCCATATTCTCTATTTTGTTTTTTTATACCTAAAGTTATAGGACAAGAAAAACTTATATATAAAATCTTGATAGTAGGATGATACCCTATTAAATATTAAAAACTCTCAAGTCCCAACATGCTGCCAAAGTATGTACGTATACATATCAATGAATCATTGTATATAAAAAAGACAAAGAAACGAACTTTTGATAAAAATTTTGTTGGCGCACTCTAATTTATTACATAGGACTATAACGTCGAGTTGCCAATGTTGTTTTTCATTTTAATACGTTGCCAAAAAATTCAAGCTGAACAAATGTAATATTCTGTGTAATTTGATGCCCCTTTAATTTAACTTTAATTTTGTTCATTCAATTTATTAAAAAGCAATTTTTGCAACACACTGCTGTTTAGTTCGTAAAATAACCTCCACTTTGCCAAACACATTCTATCGCCAAGAAAAAGAGGATACGAATGGAGGATGTGTATAATATTAATGGTGCAGTAGGAAAAGCGTCATTTCTTCTTTAGTTTTTGACACTCTTTACATATTTTTCTTACATACATTTGTTTCTTTGATTTCGTATATTTTCGGGAAAATTGAAAATTTCGAATTTTCGCTAGTAAATATTTTACTGGCGGTTATTTTCATTTAGATGCTTCTGCCCACAAATGCAATCACAATTAGAAATATTTATCTTTTCAACCAAATGGAAAAAATCTCTTATTCCTAATAAATAACGTAAAAGATTATTTCTTTTATAAATCGGCTATTTATAGTTGTTTTTTATACTTTAGCATTTGCAATTTGTCTATTAAAATATTAAATATTTGTATAATATTTATTTCAATATTTTTGTGCCCCCTGTGCAAATTCGCAATAGATTTTTTTAAATTTTTTCTCTTTGAAGTGAGAGATCGTTTTCCAAACACGCCGTTATACAACTTACGAATTGCCCAATTCAATTTCTGTCACTGGAACCTATCGTATCGAATTGAGCGGTCTGGAATGTGGCATGTAGGCATGGTCGACATTGGAACATTTTATTTCGAGCCGTACAACGACAATGAACGTCCGATAAAAAATGATGTGTTGCAAAAGATGAGTCACTTGTTTGTCACTTTATTAAAACGCGTCGAATTATCACAGACCATAAAACCTTTACGGAGTTTTAATTGTATCTTAAATGTCACTTGCGGTCTTTTCTTTTTTTGAAAGGATAGCGATTTAAGGATTTATTCGACGTGTCGGCTAAAAATGTGAAAACCCGCTCGCCGAGTACCCGAAGTTATTATCTTTGTTTTTAAAAATAATTTCCTTGACCGCAATAAATGAATTATTTTTGCGCGAGTTTAAATCGGAAAATAACAATTTGGCAAACGCAGACTCGTGGACGACATGGTTTCTACACGGGCGCGTTCGTGATTCTGTAAAGAAGGATCATTGTAGAATAAGAGAAACAAATTTGATTTTGAGGGCCGCGAGATTTTTTTTCGTATTTTGCACAGATTTTTTTATTAATATCTCAACCACCCCTTTGACGAGACTTAAAATTACACAAGTAGAGACGAGACACACGTTGTTTATTTCTAAATAAGTATCAACTTTTCGAAAAATTCGGTGACTTGCAATTTTTTGTGAACAATAATGGTTAAGGTGTCCTCAGACACGCCACCGGAACTTATAATAATTTAGTTAGGGCTATATTTGCATCACAGTCAAGAACCCAAAAGAATAAAATACCAATTGAAATCAATGACATCCGACATTGTAGGGCACTGGTTGA